GAGAGCATGTACAAGTCTCTGCAGGTGACACTGGATGGCACTGCGGTGGCACAGCCGTACTAGGAAAAGGACAGGTCACTACAGCCGCATGGAGAAATGAGTGCCCGCTTGGGAGCTGGGGTCCGTTGCCGTGGGAACCAGCCGAGGCTGGGCCTCCACCGGGCCTCCGCTCCCCCCCCCCTCCACTTCCACCCGCTCTCCTAAGCTATCACACTTGATCTCCCAGACAAGGCCTACACGGGAAGAGGGGGTCTCAGGAGCCATGGGTTTACGAGCATGCTCACTCTTACCAGCTGAGCTATCTCTCCAGCTCCTATAATTTGTATTTCTGTTTTCTCATTCTACAACAGGTTTTGTTAACTGATGTTGCTTTTGAAGCAGAGTTTCCCTTTGTAGCCCTGGCTGCCCTGGAGCTCCCTATGTAAGACCAGGTTGACCTAGAGTTCATGGAGATCCACCTGCCTCTGCCTCCCAAGTGCTGGGATTAAAAGCCTGCGCCCACCATACCCAGCTTTACCGTATACCACCTAATTCTTGGTAATTGATGGGGATAGGGACAGTGAATTTACAGAATAACATTCATTGAAACCCACAAAATTATGAGATCCCACTTTTTTGCCCTGTTACTTAAATCTCTTTCCTTTCAGGAGGTTGGGAGAAAATACAACACAACTTTAATCCTGAACTTGCATCCACAGTAGTAAAATTATCTATTTTGAGTTTCACAGACTCTTCTCGCGCACTTTTCTTAGTGAACGAGCTTCCTGCTATAAAATTGCAGGCGATGAAAAGAGGCAGGAACAGGAGGGTGGGTGCCTAGACATGGGTTTGGAAGTCACAGCACGTGTGTGTGGGGGGGGGGGTTCAGAGGACGACTTTGGGGACTTGGCTTTTTCCTTGCACTGTGTAAGTTCCCAGGTCAAACTCAGGTCATCAGGCTTAGGAAGTACCTACCTGTAACTGCCACCCTGATAGTCCAACACATTTAACTAACAAAACATTGTTCAGGAGACCTGAGGCAGGGAGTTGAAAACTGAGCTGGGCTGTATGATGATCCCCTGTCTCAAAACTGAAATGCATTGATTATGTGGACTGGAGCTGGGTATTAGTGGTACCCGCTGGCTGGTGCCTGGTAGTTTTGCATTTTGTTTTGTCTTTTTCTCTAGTCCCACATTGGCACACCAAAGCGTTGTTTGTTGTTTTTTACTCTTTACTCTTTGGGGGACCCACCACCCAGCTCCCAAATAAATCACACACACAGGCTTATTCTTTCTTATAAATACCTGCTCTTAGTTTGACCTATTTCTAGCCAGCTTTTCTTAAATTATCCCATCTGCCTTTTGCCTCTGGGCTTTTTCCTTCTCTTACTTCTGTGGTCTTACTTTCTCTCCTACCCCACGGCTGGCTGGGTGGCTGGCCCCTTCTTTTCTCCCTCCTTCATCTCTCTGGTTTCTCTCTTTTTCCTTCCATTTTTTCTCTCAGCCTGTCAGCCTCACCTATCCGTCCTCCTGCTTTGCTGTTGACCAGTCAGCTCTTTATTAGCCCAATCAGGTGTTTTAGACAGGCAAAGTAACAGAGCCTCGCAGAGTTAAACAAATGCCACATAAAAGAGCGCAGCCCATCTTTGCATCGTTAAACAAATGTTCTGCTTCTTCTACTTCGGGAAAACGCCAAGTGGCGGATGACACCGGTGCAGCGGGAGGGCCTGGGGGCCCGGGATTAGGCGGCCATGGCAGCGGTCTCAGGGGCCTCGGTTGAGGCTGTGGTTGAGGCCTCGGGGCTCGGGGAGGTAAAGCAGAGACAAGGAGTGGATCCCCATCACCAGGCTGGGCCGCCTGGTTAAGGACATGGAGATCAAGTCCCTGGAGGAGATCTACCTGTTCTCCCTGCCCGTTAAGGAATCTGAAATTATTGATTTTTTTCTGCCCGCATCCCTAAAGGATGAGGTTCTAAAAATCATGCCAGTACAGAAGCAGACTCAGGCTGGCCAGCGGACCAAGTTCAAGGCTTTTGTTGCTATTGGGGACTACAATGGTCATGTTGGTCTTGGTGTTAAGTGCTCCAAGGAGGTAGCCACAGCCATCCAGGGGGGCCATCATCTTGACCAAGCTTTCCATTGTTCCTGTATAGAGAGGCTACTGGGGGAACAAGATTGGCAAGCCCCACACTGTCCCATGCAAAGTGACAGGCCGCTGTGGCTCTGTGTTGGTGCCTCTCATCCCTGCTCCCAGAGGCACTGGCATCGTCTCTGCTCCTGTGCCCAAGAAACTACTGATGATGGCGTTGTTGACGACTGCTACACATCAGCCAGGGGCTGCACTGCCACCCTGGGTAACTTTGCCAAGGCCATCTTTGATGCCATCTCCAAGACCTACAGCTACCTGACCCCCGACCTCTGAAAAGAGACTGTGTTCACCAAGTCTCCTTATCAGGAATTCACGGACCATCTTGTGAAAGCCCACACCAGAGTCTCTGTTCAGAGGACCCAGGCTCCAGCTGTGACCACTACAAAAGGGTTTTCATACAAGAAAAATAAAGTGAATTAAGTCTGTAAAAAAACAAACAACAACAACAACAAAACAAACAAATGTTCCACAGCATAAGCAAATGAAACTTGTCTTAAAATAATATTCCACAACAGTGCCTGACTCTGAGCTCCACATGAGCCTAGTTACCAACCTCATCCTACCTGAAAGTTGATCCAGGGATCTAGAACCACTTTTACTTTTTCCATGCCTAACCCTTCCTGCCAGGGAACTCTTAACCAGAGGTTAACTGAATCAGCAATGTGGTACATGGGTTAACCTGGCTAGGATATATCCTCCTTTGTGTGTGTGTGTGTGTGTGTGTGTGTGTGTGTGTGTGTGTGTGTGTCTTTGTGTGTGTGTGGGGGGGAACAAGCACACGGTGGGGATTAAACCCAGGGCCCACCCATGCTAAGCCACACCCTCCCCGTTTCTGTTCTCTGCATTGTACCTTGCCTTTCTCCACAGTGAACTTCTGTTTGGGGACCTCCGCGTTCTTCCCTCGTGATCATATCTCAGCCGCAGAATGTCTGGTCTCCGTTGAATATGTCTTAGGACTTGGTACCACCTCCTTATAAGTAGAAAATGGGAAGCCGGGCGGTGGTGGCGCACGCCTTTAATCACAGCACTCGGGAGGCAGAGGCAGGCGGATCTCTGTGAGTTCGAGGCTGGGCTGGACCGATAGCCTCCAAAACAATACAGAGAAACCCTGTCTCGTAAAACCCAAAAAAAAAAAAAAAAAGAAAAGAAAATGGGTTTCCTAGGAGATAGTAAGGCGTGATCAGCGCAAGGAACTCTTCCGGACCCATGGCTGAGCATGGTTTTAAATCTTCTCTCTTTGACAGTCATACAGCTTAGCACCAATATTTTAAGTAGGCGAGGCATAGTGGTATACACCTGTGATCCCAGCACGTGAGAGGCAGAGGGAGACTGCCCAAAGTTCAAAGCCAATCTAGTCCTCGTAGTGAAGTGAGGCTAGTGAGGGCTATGCAGCAAGATTTGCCCCTCTCAACAGCAGCAGCAAAAGGTGGGAGGGTGGTATAAAGCTGGAATGTGAGCAGTTGTATGCAGATACACGGTAAGGGGAGAGCTGGTGGTGCTCCCCCCAGGAACTAGTCATTTTATAGTCATTTTATAGCTGCCATGAGACTGGACTTTGAAACTAGTGTCACATATGTAGCCTTGTTCTGAATCTTATAATCTCTTCAATTTATGACCTAATATTCAGGGACTTGAAAACGGGTCAAGGGTACAAAAAAAAAAAAGGAGCCTGAATTACCAGAACAAGCAACCATGCCTAACCAAATGTAATGGACTAAAGCATAGAGCCCCAACAATTAGTGAAGGGGGCAGAAGGGGGGAGAAAGTGGCAAGTGTCAGACAGACATAGCTGCCAATCAAACATCACTCAAGAAGGGGGAGGAGGATAAGAAATCCCGTAGCAGCTGGCTCTTTAACCAGTGATCCAAGGAGGGGCCGTGTCTGAGTTGTAACTCACTTACTCATTTTAAGCCCAGCCAGTAAATCTTACTGGGCACCTCTAATTGATGGGCAAAGGAGTCTGGAGATCTGGATAACGTCTTGTGAAAGCTAACTCCGTGCCAGCTTGCCTGGGCCAACAGATGCCCAGGTAGCTATTAAATATTTCTACATGCGAAGGCTGGAGCAACAGCTTAGCAGTTAAGAGCACACTGGCTGCTCTTCCCAAGCACCCACACTCTGTAACCCCAGCAATGTCTTCCTGGCCTCTGTGGGCGCTAGGCACACAGGTGGTATAAATCTATGCAGGCAAAACACCCACATACATGAAAAAGAAAATTAAAATATTTCTATATGTCAGTGGGAATATCTCCAAAAAGACTAACATTTATTTAAACCTGAAGACTGAGTAGAGAGATTACCCTAATTGATGATAGTGGGCATAGTCTAGTCCACTAAGAGCCGGACAGGGGAGAAGGACTCGGGAAGGGTCAGTCTCATTGTGTTTAAGCCACATCCACCTTCTGCTGTAAGACAGCAGTCTTCCTGGTTCTCCGCCTTTGGACCTCCACCACCGAGATTCTTGACTCTGGCTTGCAGATGGCAGGCTAGGACTTAACAGCCTCCAGCTCCTTGTGAGCCAATCCTATGTAAGAAATCTCACTGAGCTGTCTAGCTCTCTTCCTCTGGAAAACTGTGACCAAGCACAAGTCCAGACCTTCCTATGTACCCGTCCCATTCTCTTGTAAAACTGTAGTGTGTTTTCAACACAGTAGCTGAAGTAAGCTGATTTTGAAAATCTATCACCCGAGAATCGATGGCAAGCTCAGAAGGCGCTAACTCAGGGAAAATAAAATAAAGAACTAGAAAAGGGGATAAAAGGGACAGAGCTGCTGCCAAGAAGGCTTGGGCCCCACGGGCTAGAACCATCTGACACGCCCTGCAGAGACACAGCAAAATCGTGGGATCCCAGGACAAGCGGAAGTCTGCATGTGTGCCAGTGCAGTGTCCACACAGTGGCGAGGATGTGAAGCTTTACACTGGATGGTCAGAGGGTCTGTGTGGCACCATGTCAAGAAGTACATGCGTGCCCAGGAAGAGAGAGAAGTCTGTGGTTCACTGGCTGTTAAGGCAGCATGTAGACCTATAGTTGACACAGTGTTTATATTATAGTTGAAGGGAAAGACAAAAATCACAGGAGAGACTTAAAAATTAGCATTACCTGCTCACGCCTTTAATCCCAGCACTCAGGAGGCAGAGGCAGGTGGATCTCTGTGAGTTCGAGGCCAGCCTGGTTTACAGAGTGAGTTCCAGGACAGGCTCCAAAACAATACAGAGAAACCCTGTCTCGAAAAAAAATTATCATTACCTGCCTCTTGAAACGTTTTGATGACTTCTTGTCTTTATTTCTGGTAAAGCCACAGCCCTCACAGTTAGGAAAGCCCTGTCCTCCCAGTTCTCTCTGTGGACTGTCCCAGCAATCTGTCCTTACCGCTCCCTGCTGGGCTGGCCATAGCACCTTGTGCACTGGGCATGGCCTCCCTGCACTGGGCGTGGCCTCCCTGCACTGGGCGTGGCCTCCCTGCACTGGCTGATGGTGTGCTCGCTCTCTTCCCTACCGCCCCCACACACACTGCTCTGGGGTCATCTCTCCAGCATCGTTATTCTCAGGTGACTGTGCATAAAGGTCCCCAAATTCCTGTTCTCTTTCTCCCTTTTTTTATTTGCTCCCCCCTCACCCTGTCACTGCCTGGCACGAGGAACATTGTAGTTGTTTTCTTCCTGCCGCTTGGGGCATAAGCTTCTCTGGGGATAGAGATTTTTGGTCTGTTTGGGCCACTGCTCCATCCTGGACCCAGAACTGGCCTACATTGAACAAATGCTCAGTAAACAGCTGTTGGCTGACTGTGTAGATAACTATTTGTCTAAATGCCTTGCAAGTCCTTTGGACCCGTAGATTCCTTCGTGTCCTATAGAGGACCTAGCAAGCGGCAGGATGTGGCTGATGACCAAGCACACTGTGGGGAGAAGGGTGACCTTTCTGGTTTTGTTTGTTTGTTTGTTTGTTATACTATTAAACTACCCCTCATCGCTGAGCTGTTAAATGATGGGAAGAATACAGTGTGGATGGGCGGCAGGTACCCTGGAGGAGAAGGGTAACAGTTCAGCAAGGACGCTGCCTCTAAGTAGCAACCCCTGAAGACTAAAGGCAGCTGGGACAGCGATGCACAGTGAAGTCTCAGTACTTAGGAGGCTAGGCGGTCTCAAGTTCAAGGCCAGTCAGGGCGTGTAGTAAGAAGTGGTCTCAAAAATGTTTAATGTGGCTAAATGATAGAACATTTGCCTAACACACATAAGCAGGGGGCCCTGGGCTTGAACCAGCACAAAAAAAAAAAAGAAAGAAAGAAAAAGAAAAACAGAGACAGTCAGGTAGGCAGGCTCTTGTGAGGTCAAGATCATCCTAGATTCCCTTTGTGAAGGAGGCTGATTAAGCCTACTGTGCAAGGCTGTTGGAAGGAACAGGGCAAGTGCCTGTGGCGACTTTGAGCTTGGAACGTGCTTATTAAATAGTAGCTACTGATGGTCAGCCACTGCCCCACCCAGTACAACCACACCTTGCTGACAGTGACTATGCCACCCATTAGGAAGCCCAAGGCCACTCAGCTCCCTTACCTGATACGGTTGTGAGGTCTTAGAGTCTTACAGTGTACAAGGCTGTGCCAAGACCCACTCGGGCATCTCCCACAGTTCATTTCCAACTTTGTCCAGAAGCATCGATGACATTAGACATTGGAAGGATGCATGTGGCATACTTCAAAACTGATTAGGTGGTGTTAAGATAAGCTTTTCCTTGCTAGCCGCTTTGGTATATCACCCGCCAGCCGCCTGGGCTCTGCCGCATTGTAGTCCCCAAATAAACACACAAGACGCTGTATTAATTATGAAGCTGTTGGCCTTGCTTGTTTCTTACTGGCTAGCTCTGACTTAAGTAATTACCCCATAATTGTTAATCTAAGTATGTCTCTTACCGGAGAATAGTTCTGGGCTTCCTACCCCATGGCGTTACATGTCGAACTCTCTCGTGTTTCTCCTTCCCAGAGTCCTCCTGGACTCCTAGTCCCTCCTATCTAGATTCCCTATAGGCCAGACAGTGCTTTATTGACAAATAACAGGCAAATAACAGGACTTCCCCAACAAGGTGGATTTATGAAACCAACGTCAAAAGAATCCCCCAGTTCCCAGGTGTCGCTCCATGCTGTTATAACACCACAATTCAACAAGAGAGGTGCTGTGTGTTTCTCTGGCGTGGACCTTTCCCAAGGGTATGGAGAGAAGATGGTCTGTCAACCTGTCTTTTCCTCTGAATGCTTTCCTTCTTCTTTCCCCGAAGTTCCCCTCCAGTTACTCCTGCTCCTCAGCTCCCCCCACTGTCTAGTCACATTCCTATTTACCCCCCCCCATCCCCATCTTTCCCTGGTACTCTTAGAACTTGATG